AAGGCGCCCGGTTCCCAGCCGTCTCGACCCGCCGCACGCGGCTCCGGGGTTGGGGGCTTCTCGGTGCGGTCCTGCGCGGGTGGGAGGGGTCTGTGCGCTGCTGGGCTGGGCACCTGGGCGCCTCGGGGGCGGCCGTCTGGACGCCGAGGGCCGGCCGGTTTCCAGCGGGCGCCGAGTGACGCGCCGCAGTGTTTGTTGCCAAGGGTTGTCATGGAAACAGGGCGGTGCCGCTACTGTTTGTCTCCCGTCGCTTGGGCCGTCGCGGGGGCGGCGGCCGCAGCCCCCTCCCCTCAGCCCGGTGTGTCCTCGGATCCCTGCAGATGCGGGGAGGGACCTGGCTGGCCGCCTCGGCCCCCACCCCACAAGCCCCGAATGCCACCTGAACCCCCAGCCCCGCACCTCCCCCCCTGGGAACCAAGTCCTGGCACCCTTGTGGCCCTTGAGAACCGGCCAGGCCAGCCCCCCCACCCCCACCCCGTGGCTCTGCCCGGCAGCTCTGCCCAGCGACTGGCCCGCACCACTCTGACCCACAGTCTCCTGGCCCGATGCCCCTCATGTCCCATCCCTGAGCTGGCACTGGGAGGCCCCGGTTGTGTCCCCTGTACCCCCACCCCTGCCTGCCATACCTCCCAGGTTGAGGACCCTCCCCCTCAGGCCTCTCCCCTACCCACCTTCCTCTGGGCAGCCCCTCCCCTGCTGCAGGCCCCCGCTGCCCCACCCAGCCCAGCCTCCCTGCACCTCTCGAGGTCTGGGGACTCCTTCCTGCCCACAGCTGACTGGCCATTGGGGGCCAGGCCGGAGAGCACCCAGTGTCAGTGCTCCCATGGGGGGGGAGGGCAGCACATGTTCCAGGGCTCCACTGTCCAGGGGATGAGGCTGGAATTTGGGGTGGTTCTGCCAGTTCTTTGGCTCCAGACTCAGGTCCTGGAATCAGGCCCAGCCTCCAGGGAGAGGAGGACGGGGCAGCCCCCCTGGCCAGACGGGCAGACCCCAGGGTGGACGCTGAGGGGCGGCAGGGCTGCCCGGTCCCACTCCCCTGCCCTCCCCCAGAAGGCCTGTCCCCTGGCAAGGCTGTCCTGTCTCCCCCCTGCTGCCTGGGGCCAGGCAGGCCCATGGGGCAGACCTCGGGGCAGACGTCCCTGGAGAGGAGCTGCTGAAAATAGACCCTGGGAACGTCTGTGTCTTCCCAGAGAACCGGTGGACGCCGGGGAGGCAGCGCCCTGGGGTGCAGGACCTAGCCATCTGGCTTTGGGGTGTCTGACTCTCTGGAGACGCTTGGGGGCGAGGCAGAGGCCAGTGCCCAGCTTGGGGAGGCTTGCTGGCTTGCAGCCCAGGAACAGAGCCTTGCCCTGGGGCAGATTCCTTAGCGGTCACTGGGGTGCTGCCCACCCCTTCTCCAGGGCCTGCGCCCTGCGCCCATCACAGCCTCCTCTGACCTGTGTGGCCCCATTTGGTCTCCTGGCTAGTAGGGTGTGGGGGGTGCAGAGGGAAGGCTGGGGTGGGGGTTGGGTAGCGGCCTCCTGCTGTCCAGGCACAGGTGGCGCCTCGGGCAAGCAGCTGGGTGCCCTGTGTCCCTGTCCTGGCCACCATGTCCCTGACATCCCACGGCCCACCTGGGCTGTGGCAGTACTGGGGGACAGGCCGTAGGGCTGGCACAAAAGTGCCAGCAGTGTGAGCCAGGTTGGGGCCCACAGGGGTCCCCGGGCCCCACGTGTTTGTGCAGCAAATGCCCACACCATCAACAAAAGAGTGGAGGCACCCCTGGACTTGGAGTGGGGAGGCAGGAGCCCGCCTGCCACAGTGACAGCTGATTCAGGTCACCCCGATGGCAGGGTCCCGGGGGGCCAGAGGGCGCCAGGCTGGCGGCAGCCGGGACCCTGGAGGGGCCGGAGGGAGCGCGTGCGTGAGTGTCTGGGAAAGCTTGTACCCACCAGGGTGTGGTGCGCGGCCTTTGGCCCCCCCATCTTCCTCCCACCCACGCCCATCACTATGGCAATGGGCAAAACAGTGGGGAAGGCCAGAGAGGACTTAACACCCTAGTTTTCAAGGGGGGCCGGCTCCTTGCAGGGTAAGGCTGCAGGGGTCGTCTCAGAGCAGAGGGCAGGTCCGGCTCCAGCTCTCCGTCCAGCGTGTGCCTGGTGGGCTGACCAGAGCCCCCGAAGGTTTTGCCCACAGGCACTCAGGGGCACTCCGTGCCGCCTCACGCCCCTCCCACTGCCCGGCACCCACGGCCCTGGGAGCCAGGCGGATGCCTTCACTCCAGAGCCCTCCCGGGGGCCCCATGCCAGGCAGGCACCCCTGGGCACCCATGGGGGAGAACAGGGCCATGGCGGGGGCTGCAGCCCACCCCCAGGCAGTGGGCAACTGGAGCATCTCCAGGATAGGGTCAGAGTGGGGTGCAGGGCAGGGCAGCGATGGGAAAGTCTTGGGGATCGGATGGCGTGGGGTCCGGCAGCGACTAGGTCCCCATCCTTGCCTGCGCTAGGGGGCAGGGCAGGGATGGGGGCTCCCTTCCTGGGCTGGGCTGGCTGGGTGGTGAGGTCAGGGAGGTGGGCTGGGCTCACTGGGGCTGCGGGGCCTTGAGCCCCGGCACGGAGGTGGTGAGGCCAGCAGGACCAGGGCAGATGGGGTTTTGTTTTCTGCGTGGGTGTGTCCGTGTGTGTCCTGGGAGATGAGGATACTGGGACAGTGGCCCCGGGGGCGGAGGGCAGCGTAGCTGGAGAGCCAGAGCAGGGGGACAGGGGTGCAGGAGGGCCTCGGAGCCCGGGTGCTGTGGGTGTGGCGTGGGAGCACCACGGTGGAGGGGCCGCAGAGTGGACATCCCTCTCCCCAGAGAGCGAGTCACCTGGGTGGCAGTCAGCGGCAGGGGCCGGCTAAGCCAGGCCCGGCCTGGGGACATGAGGCTGCTGCCTCCACCCTCACCCCACCTCAGCTGGGGTGTCTTGGGAGAGGACACCGCGAGCCGCCTCCCTTCCCCATCCTGGGTGGGCGGGTCCTCGCGGCCTGATACAGGAAGGCACAGGGAGCCTCCCCTCTACCTGGGAGGGATTGGACTGCCGGCCCCTGGGCACTTCCCCAGCATCTGCCAGGCCCGCCTTCGAAGAGCCCCAGGTGGCGCACCCCCCAGCCCCCCCAGCAGCAGCGGATGCGGGTGGGCTGCCCCAGGGTGGAATCTCCCCCCACCCACCCCGGGAATTCCCTGGGACACTTGCTGAGGCCCCTTGTACTTCCCCGACTGGCTGGGGTCTCCCAGAGATCCCGAGAGTGGCGCTGCGTGTCCCACTGCTGATCTGGAGCCGGAGGGGAGCTCTGGAGGTGGGGTGCGGGCGGAGACACCCTGCCGGTGCCCACAATGGTCTGTCAGGGGTAGGGGCGTCAGTGTATGTGGGGGGAGCCACAAGCTAGTTTCTGTTTGCGTTTGGAGGCTCCGCCCCTTTCAGTGTTTCCCCGCGGATCCCCAGCCTTCCCGCGCCCCCAGCTCGGTGATGCTGCGCCTGGCTCAGGTCTTTCTTAGGGGCGGGGTGGACCAGATGACCTTTTTCAACCCTTTGCCCTGGAACCAAGGTCCGCGGGGGTCCAAGCTCGGGATCGGGGAGGAGCCAGGGGCGGGTCTCGAAGGGGCGGGGTCCCGGGGTCCCAGAAAGGCACCGACCCAACCCGGACCCACCCAGTCCCGTGCTGTCTGTCCGCTCCCGCCTCAGCTTCCTGCACCGTACCCAGAGCCGGCGCCGCCATGCCCAAGTGCCCCAAGTGCGACAAGGAAGTGTACTTTGGTGAGCGCGACCCCCAGACTCCCAGGCTGGACCCCGCGGGGCGTCGCGCGGTCCCACACGGAAGCGAGGCAGGGGACGACCCGGCCGGGGGCATCCCGAGTGGGTGGGCGCGTCCCCGCGGGACTCTCGGGCACCGCCCCGGGAGCAGACACTGACTCTGGTCGCTGCCGTATAGAGGACGTGACCCCCGCGTCGGTGCCCCCTCTCCCAGCTCAGTGGCTCTCCGGGTGTGGCTGTCCCCCCCCAACCCCGCCGGCGTCTCTTCGGCTCTGGGGTGCGGTCTCCCCGGCTCTGCCTTATGAGCCGTTCTCTCGGGTCTCTTCTCGGGCGCACCCAGGGCGGGGACCCCGCGGGGTAGGAAGGAACGCGGGGCCCTGGCCGCCCTCCCAGCGCTAAGTAGAAACAGACGCGGAAACCCACGCCCGGGGCGCCATCCCAGGCGCGCTCTGGCCCCGCGTCCGCCTTCTGGCCCCGCGCGCGCCCCGAGCCAGTAGGGAGGGGCAGGAGGAAGTGGGAAGTCCGCCCGCCCGCGCCCCGAGAGCCTGGGGAGCCCGGGGCCCCTAGCCAGGTAGCCTGGCCGCAACCGTCCCGCTGTGAGCTTTCTCCAGGCCCCCACTGCCCTCCTCGGCCCATTCTGCCCGCGGGGGCGCGGCTCTGGGCCGGGCACCTGGAGGAGCCCCCGTTGGCGCCCTCTCCCGGCTGCCGGGGCGGGTGGGCTGGACCCGGCCGCGCCTGGTGGCCTCTTCCTGCCCCCCACCCCGAGGCCAGGGGCCCGGGAGAGGGCCGCGGCTGCCGTTTTCTGGACCCGGGTGGGGGCCACAGTCCTGAGCCGCGGCCCTGACGGGCCTGTCCACCCACAGCCGAGCGGGTGACCTCGCTGGGGAAGGACTGGCATCGGCCCTGCCTCAAGTGCGAGAAATGTGGCAAGACGCTGACCTCCGGAGGCCACGCCGAGGTAGGTGCCTGGGTGGGGGTGTTGGGGCACGTGGTCAGGGCGTCACCCCTCATGGCTGTTCTCTTTGCAGCATGAAGGCAAGCCCTACTGCAACCACCCCTGCTACGCAGCCATGTTCGGGCCCAAAGGTCTGCTCCCCGCCCCCAGTGCGCCCCACCCGCCCCTACCCGCATGCTGCCCCGCCCACTCCCAGATCTGACCCCTCCTTCCTGGTGTCTGCAGGTTTCGGCAGGGGTGGCGCTGAGAGTCACACTTTCAAATGAACCCAGGTGCGTCCCCATCCTGACCAGCCCGCTGGTTCACCCTAGGAAGGGTCCGACCCCCTGAGCATGGACCTGGTGGGAGCGTGAAGCTGCTTCCCCACTGTTCTTCTCTTTGCAGGTGGCACAGACCCTTTTCCTGGCCTTGCTTGGAGCATGGCCCCTGAGGGCTCATTCCAGGCGGACCTGTTCCCGGAGACTCCGGAGATTCCGTGTCCTCAGTGAACCCTCAATAAACCTGAGCACTGGGAAGCCCTGTGTACCCCTGTGTGTGCATGGGCCCGCGGTGCCTGACAGCTTGCTCCTGGTCCTGTGGGGTGTGTTGGGGCACCTGGTTGCAGGCACTCACAGGTCAAGACCCTCACCTTGCCGGACCACCCCAGGCCCCAAGGAGATCTGCTCTGAGACCCCCGGTGGGTGTAGCCAGGCAGGAGGGTCGGCGGGACAGGTGCTGGGGCTGACCAGCTAAGTTCAGCTTGGTTCCTTTTTTGAGACAGTTTTGGGCAGTTGTGGTAGGGAGTCCTGCCTGTTTCTCCCCACTTCACCCCGTCCATCCTCCACCGTTGGGGGGGGCCATTGTTTCGTGAGGGAGCCCACCCCCCCTCCCTGTGCCCCGAAGCAGGGAGGCCAGCTGCTTCCACAGGACCTGGAGGACTGGTGCGGCAGGGGTGGGGGGTGGGGGTGGGGTGGAGGTTGGGGAGGCATGTCGGTGGGGGCAGCAGCAGCAGGCCAGGCTCCGGCAGAGCCCCTCAGGGCCCTGCCCCCGGCCTTGGCTGGGCCACAGCAGGTGTGAGCTGGCCCTGTGACAGGCTCCAGCAGGTGGGGTGGGGTGCTCATAGGATGGGGGTCTGCAACCTTAGGGCCCAGTCCTGGAGCCAAAGGGCTAGTGGGCGGAGCAGCTGAGGGAGTCTCCGTGTGAACCTCGGCAGGTGGGCAGGTGAGCAGGTGAGCTTTGCGACTCAGCACTGCCTCTGGCCAGTGGGAGGTGGCCACACAGCAAAATCCACCCTGAGCCCCAGAATTTCCTGTCCCCTCCCACGGCTCATCTGTCCAGGGATCCTGCTTAGGTCCTCCTGCCGTCCCCACAGGTGGCTACCGTGGGGGAGGCCAGATTTCTTCTACTTGCACCCCGCCCCCTTCCCCCCGCCGCCAGCCCCTGCTCTCAAGCAGCAGAGCCGCCAAACCGCGCTGCACGCGTGCCGGCGCCGGTCCAGACCGCGTGAGGGCAGAGCGTGGACGGAAGAGGCCCAGCGGGCCGGAGGTGGGAGGGCGGGGCTGCCCCCGAGGTGCAGATCTGGGGGGAGTCGGCGGTCCCCCCACTCGGGCGGCCGACAGGGCCTCGGCGGGGGGGTGGGGGGAGGCGGCCCCGGCGCAGAGAGGGGGCAGGGCCGAGGGGCCCGCGAGGCGGGACCGCGGTGGCGCGATTGGCGGCCTGAAGGCGGATTTTCCTCAGCGGCGTTGCGTCCACGGCCAGAGGCCCGGAAGCGGCTGCGCTGCCGCGGCCCCGCCCTCGGGGGCAG